AGAGATTCCTTAAGCTCAGCATCATTGGTGACCCTGATTTCTTTCATCTCCGTGCTCCACCTGCCTCATCGTCACAGCAGGGCTGCCGTGTCTCCCTGAAGAGATAGGATATCCCCCAGCCGGCTTCACCGATACCACCGTCCAAGCCTCCCAATGACTCTGACTCTGACATATTTTAGGCCTCATGAGCCTTGGCGGGGATTTCTGGCTTAGCCTTCCATGGGACTGTTATGTCCACTCAAGCTGTGGAGGCCTTGGTAGATATGGGAGTGCTTAGGACACTTTTCATTAGGGAGGCTTTGATTTGGGGTCTTTACAACAGGTTTCACCTAAGGATTGTGGAGGGCATCCTGGAGCTAGAGCCATAATCTGGTCTTCCTTCCCCACCTGGTTCTGAGCCCAAGTTCTGACTGAGGAATGAGTGGCAGTCGCCTGGCACTGTAGCTGCTTCCTTCTGGAGTCTCACCTGGGCTGGGGTCACAGCCCCTGGTGCCTCCCCATCACTGTCCGACTCTTCCTCGCTGCTGCTCTCCGAGTCCTTCTGCTGCTTAGCTTGGGGGGCTGTGGGTCCTGTCTTCCCGGGGGGTGCTGGGGCAGCCCCTTTCCTGGGGGACCCCTTGGGAGCTGAGGCAGTTCTGAGCTGGGTGGTCTTCCCTGAGGGCTTTGCCTGGGGTGACAGAAACACAATCAGGGAAGGGAATCCAGAGGGAGAGCTGGATGGGGCATCTGCAGCGGTGTGATGGGCGGCTCCTGGCACAGTGGGGAGGCACAGGGCTGCTCTCCGCCCTCCCTGGGCCTCACCTGAGCAGATGCGTCCCCCTCACTGTCCGACTCCTCCTCACTGCTCTCTGAGTCTTCAACTGGCTCCTGCTGGGCCTGGGCTGCTGTGGCCACTGCCTTCCCCACAGCTGGCACGGACACCTGGCCCCTCACGGAGAGAGCATTGCTCTGGGGGGTTCTCACTGGTGGCTTTACCTGAATCAAAAGGAGGTACCACTATTGAAGAAGGAAGTGGACAACATGGTTCTTTCTAGGTTAAACCCTACTCATGGCGTGACGGTGGCGAGGGCACTCCCGCCTGTGCAGGGCCCTGTCCAGGCTGGGGCCACCGCTTGGTCTGCCTCTCGGCCACACCCCTGGCACCTCCTGTGACTTCTGGTCCCACTTGCCTTGTCTGGAGACACCTGTTTGGCTTGAGCAGCTGCAGCGACCACTTTCCCGGAAGCTGACGCTGTCCCTTTGGCTGAAGCCCCTCTAATAGAAGCTGGGTTGGCTTTGCTCTGAGAGGTTTTCACAGAGGCCTTCACCTGGAAGGAGAAAGAATTACGGATGTGAGAAGGTGAGATGCAGTACAGCAGTCAGACAAGAACACTGATTCTGGAGTCAGATGCCTGAATTTGATTCTAGCACCTCCATTTAGTAGCTGTGTGAACCTGGGCAAACCATTTGATCTCACTGGGCTTCAGTTTCCTCTTCTGTAAAATAGGGGTAACAATAAGGCCCACCCACAGGGTTACTGCGAGGATGAAGTGAGAGACTTGCAGTGTTTAACATGGTTTCTGGTACATAATAAACACTTGAACTCATTATTGTGAGCACTTTTCTTAGTGTCAGCTAAGCACAAGACTAGCCAAAGCAAAGGTGTTTTGTAGGCTCCCTTTCAGCTAGGTGGCCATAGGATTAAGTCCTAGCTAACGGGATGTGTAAGTCGAGTACACATTCGACTTTCTTACACACGTAGGAAATGTGTCTTCTTCCTCCTAGCTGGCTGGAATGCTGAGGTAATAGCTGGAGCTTAAGCAGCCATATGAATGTCTATGAGGTGGGAGCCAGGTACTGAAGATGGCAGAACAAGATAGAAAACCACTGTTGTTTGAGTTTTTCTTCAGCTTAAACTAATATCCAGGGAATTCCCCAAATGCCTGTCAGAGTCCCCAGCAAATGCAGATCTAGAGAGATGAGAGCAGTAAAGAGTGAAATCCTTGACAGGGGTATGAAAGCAAGCCCTGCTAAATGAAATAGAATGAGGAATTTGGCAGCAGGTCAAGGCCTCTGCCTCAGTCAGAGATGTCATTTGATCAGTACCAGAAGAAATCCCCCACATCCTAGATTCCCTCTTCCACACAAGAACAAATGAAATTAAGTCAGGACTTAAAGAAAATCCCCTAAAGCATAGATTATGTACGATTCAAGGCCAAGGTGCTCATCAGTATAGCACTCAGGTCATCCAGAGGGGAGTAATATCTTTTACACAGACAAAGGATACTAAGGCTAACCTGACCTAACAAGTCGCCATAAATGTTAAAGGGCCGAAATCATATATAATATGTTCTTCAGCCACAACCGGATTAAAATAGAAACCAACAACAGAAAAAAATGTGCCCAATCCCAGATATTTGGAAATTAACCTACTTCTAAACCCACAGTTCAAAGAATAAAAATAAAAACTATAACATTTCAAATTTCATGGGCTGAAGTTAATGCAGTCCTTAGAGGGAAATTTATAGCTTTACATACTTATATTAGAAAGAGTGAAAGTAAAAAATTTATATCCTCTCCTTAAGAAGCTAGAAAAAGAAGAGCAAATCGAACCCAAAGTAAAGGAAGGAATAGTAAAGATCAGAGTGGAAATTAATGAACTAAAAAGAGAAAAATGATAAAGAAAACTCAATGAAATCAAAAGTTGTTTCCTTGAAAAGCACAACAAAATTGTTAAGTCTTGAACTAGACTGACAAAGAAATAGGAGAAGACAAAAATGACCAAAAATTAGAAAAGAAAGCAGGACATCACTACAGACTCTACAGAAATTAAAAGAATTAGAAGGGAATATTATGAATGAATTCATGCCAACAAAATTGACAACTGAGATGAAAACAAATTTCTAGAAAGGCACAAATTATTAACTATGCACGAATTAAAAGGCATAAAATGTAAACTGATTTAAGAAGGAAAAAAATCTGAATAGACCAATATTGATTAAAGAAATTGATTTAGTAATTAACTCCCCCCACTCCAAAAGAGCCCAGGCCTAGATGGCTTCACTGGTGAACTCTATTAAGAAAGAAATAGTACCAATTGAATATATATATATATATATATATATATATATATATATATATATATATAGTCATGGGACGTGGAGTACAGTGTGTGAGTGGAGTCAAGGGATTTGTAATAGATATGTATG